CACTCGCAACGTGATTTCCTACCAATATGTTAATTATACTGTTACTGCGATACATGCGGTTTCTTTCCTCTTGCCTAATCTAATGGGGAACATAGGATATTGTTAGTTGACTTCATTATGTTTTTAGTAATTTAAATTTAGGGTAAATTTATCTTTGAACTCTTAAATTTAAAATTATTTTTTAAATTTTATAATTTTTTTAAACTTATTTTAGTTGTGTTTTTAATAGAATATAAGCAATAGTAATAAATTAAAATAATTATATATTATTAATTAGATTTAATGTGATGTTTTTATTGATAAATATGTTAAAGTAGATTTTGTACAATAATATTTAATAAAATTATTGACAACTTTTGGAGGGCTAAATATTTTTTTTAAAAATACGAACTAAAAAGTTGATTATAAATTTGAAAGATTAAAAATAAATTTATCTTATTTAAAAGATTAAAAATATTTAAGCATTTGATGAATCACTTGCACAAAAGTTATATATAAATTTTGCGCATACCATATAGGTAAATGGATGAATACTAAGGGAGGGACTAGAACTGTTTTAGGCAGGACATCACTGATATGTCTAGGATTTTAAAGGTGGAGAGATGCACGCAGAGGATTAGACAAAGTATTATAGATTTGTTTTCTCCATGGTTTTTGGAAGGATGATTGCTCCAAATAATCAATTCAAAATCATTAAAACTCTTAAAAGGCTTTGGACGTTTGAACCCATGCTCACCAGGTGAAATTCGGGACCATGCATTTGATCATTATTTCCAACCCACATGACCAATTAGTTCCCGGTGATTGATAAGAGATGGTATAGGGTAGTTTAGATCTTTAGACTCAAGTCTCATTTTGAAAATTGGTGCTGCATATCATGTGTGTAGTTTTATCCTTGCATATCATGTGTGTAGTTTTATCATTCTCCATAAAGATCTTAGTCATCATTTTTCATGTCTTCAATCCTTTAGATCGACTCGATGTCCTTGGTCTTACTTGTTTAAGGAGGTAAATATTTTTGATTTCATGTGTCTGAGGTAAGGTATGGGTTTTTGGCCTTACCTATTCGAAAAGGGAAATGAGTGTATCTACAAAAGTCGTTCTAATGTTCAAATAAGTATTTGATCTAAGTCAAGGTGACACAATTAATATTATAATAAAATGTGATCTAAAAAATATTTTTTCATATTATTACACTATTATTTATGCTAAACCTTTATTGGGCCTGAACCCATATAAAAGGTCCAACGATCATCTAACTACTTTTGATGAGTCATCTTACCATTTTTTCAACGTACTTGTTTAGGTGGTCTTTGACAAGGGCCCGATAAGTTGTTGACTACCCCTCAGCTCCTATTGATATACATGCTCCCAAACTTTCAAATTTAATTATTTATAATAAAATTAAAGAAAGTCTAACTATGTGTCTCTCTTACTCTCCTCGATAAGTGTTACACCTCATAAATATATCTGAAAATATCAATGTTGAGACGTTTCATTATGAAGGATTCTGCCTTTTCATTTTCTTCTTTAAAAATGAGGCGTTGCTTCTGTTAACATAAGAAGAGTCATGTGTTAACAACGATTGATCTTATTTTGATTTAACAATTGTAAATCTTGATATTGTTTGTTCTTCTCCAATTTCTACTCCTATAAATAGGAGTTCCTTTTACCAAAATTCTTACTTCGAGATTGACAATTCTCCTTATTTTCTTTTTGAATCTTTTACTATATTCAAAGGTAAACATGAGTAACTCTTCTTCTTCTTCTTTTGAGGGTTTATCCTCTTCTTCTTTTTCTAATTTATCTTCCTCCTTTGAGAACAATCCTCCTAGTCTTGTAATAGAGTCCTCAACCCAACTTGAAGACCCAAATCTTGAATCTACCGAGGACATTACCAAGTCAAAAGTTGTCCCAATTTTGAATGGGTCCACAAGGTTATTGCTATTTACAACTCTCATTTCAATCACTTGAGAATCCTTCAAAATTTCATGTCTCATATGAGAATTTATACTTTCCTTGCAAAAAAGGATCTTTTTCATTTTCATTTCGAGTTTATGAATTTTTTCTTTTGTTAATATTTTTGATCTTTGATGTCAATTTTTTTAAATTTTTTTGAAATTAAAAACAAACAAAATTTATTTAAAGACTAAAATGAAAAATTGAAAAAAGATTCGAAGACAAAAAAATATATACGCTGCTGTAAATATATATATATATATAGACACACACGCTGATCTAGAAAGAATGATTGGCAATCGTTTCGCAGGTGCTGACGTGCTGTTATTGACATTTCGTTTTGATTCAATTCAAGATGGCTTCGGGATTTCAGCTTGTAGGCATACTAATAATTCAAATTCAATCCAAATTGCGAATTGTTCCTGTGGAAAACTAATCTCATATATTCCGGTGAGGTTTCTATAGTTTGTATCTATGTATTAAGTACAGTTTTTTTTATTCAAATAAATTTATTTAATGAAATAATAGCTTTCTTAAAAATAAAAAATAAAAATCATTGCGTCAATTAAATTGGATATGTCTTCTTTACTACTTAACATGTTTATATCATCATAAGCAGCAAAAAAAAATAAAAATAAAAAATGCTGGTGTCCGTTTAAATCTTGCTTTACATTGAAGGAACTAATATTAAGGGGAACGATATGCATCAGCTATTGCAGATCACCATGATTCTGCTCTTGTTTCAAGAAAAGCTAACATCTTCCTCACCGGGTTGGGTCAAACTTAGACGGGCCTTCAAAGTAAAGGATTCTTCAATGGTGGTGGTTAACTTTCTAGTTTCTACACTGAATTTTAAATTAGAGTACATTTTTATCCCAATTGTATAATTTTCTCTCTCTTAATTTGTGTTTGTGCGAGAGAGATTAACAATTTTAATTTTCTCTGTATGTTATGGTATGGAAAACACACCTGTAATTGTTTAGTAACCATCGAAGCTTAAAAATTAGAAGAATATATAACTTATTTCTTTTAATTCTAGAATTAAGTTACATATGTATGAAATTGCATATCAATATTTTAATGTGGTTTTTTTTGGTTTAGAAAAAGAATAAGGTACTTTTATATTTATTATAAGATTAATTGTTATTGATTTATTTGGATGTAAAGACTTATTTGATTATTGAAATGTCTTTTATAAGTATCATCCATTTCTCTTCTTCGAACATGTATATTCAAAAACTACAAAATAAGGATGAACTATTAGAAAGAACTTAGAAAGCGAGGATGAAAATGACAAAATTATTGATATACTCTCATGTAGGTACAATCTTAAAATTCACATGTTGATCAACTTATCTCATTAGGCTCATGTCCTGCTCATATTAATCCATAACTAACCAATCAATGTTAAGATAGGTAAGATTGGATCAATATTGAATTATACCATATCAATTATGATCTTGAAGTATATATAGTCCATCAACCTCAAGCACAAAGTGAAAAGAGACTCAAGTGACTAGATACTTCTTTATTAGTCTTTATCATTAATTTGAAGAGATACTCGATCCATTACATCGGATTGATACTAATCTTAAATTATATCTAATTGGTCCTCATCTTAGATAGTACAATTACCATATAACAACTATTTATTTTCGTGCAACTCACATAATTTCTTTTGTGTGTTTACATCAGGCACAACAAGATTTAAATGTAAGATTTTATCGAAACTACTAAAATCATTCACTATTAGACTAATTTTAGTAAGTTAAATGTTTTAATCTATCTAAACAATAAAGATTCAACCCTAATATATATGATGTTGAGTACAAGAAATGTTTTTTACTTTTTCAAGAATAAAAAAAATTAAAAATATTAGGATTTCAAGTTTAAATTATTAATTGAAAAACATTCTTACAAGACATTATTTTTGAAAATTTTTACATAGGTTTCCCATAATTATTTCTATTAGGGAAGTTTGAAATCTAACATTAAGAGTTAAAAAAATTTATTACAGTAAAAGTATTAAGTTATAACTAACTAAACACATTTTAATTATTTTTAAAAGTTATAATTTTTAATACTTTAAATTCATAAGAATCATGATCTCAAACATTAAAAATAATTATCTTCTGCCAAATATTTTTTCTTCTTATTTTGGTGAATACCAAATATCTTCTTAGTATCAACCTTATGAGAAGGACTGAAAAAGAAAATAAATGAATAAGAAAAAAAAATCATAAAACAATACTAGGAATATTTCAAAGCATAAAACATGGACATCAGGATATAAGATTTAGGTAGTATATATTTTTACAAATCCTTAATCTTAATATAAAATTTGTGTTTAAAATTAATTTAGTGTGTATTTGTTTTAGCATTTTATAATATATTTTTACGTCAATTATATCTGAAATGTGAAAATTAAAATTACTTACTTCTAATTTGACGTGAAAAATCACGTTATTAACATCGAATCAAACACCTATTAACCACATATCTCAATCACGTTCAATAGTTGAAACTGATTGTATCAAATTCAGTTCTATTCAATTTTCAAAGCCAAAAGCCCTTACACCAACCCCTAAATTCGGTTTTGAAGATTATGTGAAGTCGTTCTCTAAATATCCCCAAGGTGACCAATATAACAGCTTGAAAATTCCTGCCATCCATCATGATCAATCAACGTCGCATTACAACTACGCAAAACTGTCGGTTGTTCTCGTTTATTAGCATTGCCTATCAATTATGACAATTTGATACCCAGATGTTTATAGATGCATTAGGATCATTTTTAAATTATTATACACATAAAGTTACAAGTCGTATAAAAAAAAATACTAAAAAATTTTAGCCGACTTCCAGTTTAAGAAAGTACAACCATAATATTCAATTGTGCTATTCAAAGATCATGTTCATAATAATGAAATTTTGGACCTCAAAAGAATATTAACTAAAACAAAATAGGAAAAGACTAAAATAAAAGGCCAAACAGTGGCTGAGAATAAAAAATGAAAAAAGAAATTATAAAGAATGCAGCGAACCAAAAAAGAAATGCAGACCATAAAAACAAAGAAGATATTTTCCAACAGATTTTTACAAATAGTTTATATCATCAAATTTTTTGATGACTAGTTTCAGGAATGGTACAAAACCTTAATAATAATAATGACTCCATTTCTTATCCCCAATGAACCCCTTCGCTTCTACAATTCCCTTAACTCCAACCAAAGAACCAATCTAGGGAAACAAACGCGTCCTAACTTCAAGATCTATCTCCTGAAATGCCCAACGATGATCATATTCATAGTCCTGCTTCTGCAACAACAAACACGGTTCAAGGTTGTTACATAAAACCTCGGAATATAAACAAGTTATATGCATACACTTAAGGTTTATAGCAAACCTTACAGAAACCATTAGGTGCAAATGAAGCATCAAGAAGGTCTTCGAAACAGTAACCGGGTATTGTTTCAATCAAGTACTCAGAAATGCTGCTTGTAGTTGTTGAAACCGAACCGGTGTCACTAGCTACGTTGTCCTCAACCTTGAAAGAAGAACTCGCATTTTCATTGGAAACTGATCTGGGTCTGTTCATTTTAGATCGAGCTTGGGAGCCAGTGGTGCAATTGGTGGAGGACGACGAAATGGGGTCCAAAGAAGTGCCAGAAAGCTTCACACCCGTTAGAAGAAACCTGTTATGGTTTTGTGTATGCTCATTGGCTCTGTGGATAGGAAGGTCACATTCCCTGCATAGTATGGCCCTGTCTTCTTGGCAAAATACATATGCACGCTTCTCCTGTTAAATAAATAAAAAAAATCATTATTATTTACTAATACTATTTTATTTTATGTTTTCATTAGGTCAAAAATCAGGAACTAATTAACCTCAAGAGATATTTTTCTATATATAAAGACCTAGCTAGCTAGAGATCGAATATCTGATCAGATGTCTGACCATATGTTCGCCGACGAAGTAATTGACATTTTTCAACAGATAATTTTTTATATACATAAATTTAGCGATCGAATATATGACCAAAAGTTATCGAACACTTGTAAGAGATATTTTTCTATATACAGATTTTGAGATCGAATATCTGAGCAGATGCTTGTCGAAAAAATAATTGATGAGTTGTTTCTACAAATATTTTTCTACACAGAAAGACCTTAGATTGAGTATTTTAGTGAATTGGTGATTGTGTTGGAAAGAACATACGTGTGTGAGATATTTTGAAGACATGGTAATGAATAATGGAAGAGAGAAGGGAGGGAGGAGTACTTGGCAGATATCACAAAGAGGGAAGTCTTGGGAGGTGGGGTAGTGGAGAGAGAAGCGAGCGTGTTTGGTTGCAAGCTTGTTGGCGTGGTGAATGGTGCGATCACAGGTGTGGCAAAGAGCAGCTTCATCTGCAGGACAGAAGACCAAGGCTTCCACTTTGTCACACACATCACATTGGATCTTCATCCTTCTCTATCTCTCTTTGCTAACTTTGTGCTCTCTTGTGTTTGCTTGTATGTTGTGGTTTTAATTAATGTCGGAGAAAATGGTTATGTGTGTGTGTGTGTATGGGGACAAAAGAATTATGGGCGACTTGGGTGTTAGGATCCAGAAAGGGTGAGAGGGGTATTTAGTGATTTCTGACTTTGAGAGAACTCTGGAGGATTGAGATACATATATACATACATGCAGTATATTTCTCACTTTCTCTTTCTTTGAATAAATAGAGAGAGAGAGAGAGCAAGTTGGCGTATTATTATGTATCGTATTGAATAGCAAGTGCAAAAACAAAACCTTTCACTCTCAGTCTGAGTGCTTCTGAACTCTCCGGCATGGTCTGCGTTATCTGCTATTCCTTTATTGATTCAAAAGCTAACTAACTCCACTTTTAACCTTCCCTTTCTATTTAAATAAATAATGCTAATAATCACTGTTCTAGTGTAGACACACACTAAACTAAATGATGTCCAAAGGTGCTGGAACGGAGGTGCCAGCTACCTATTTCCTTACAAAGCTTCCCTCTTAGCCTAACTTATATCCATGGATATTCTCACTTTTCACCAACAATATACAAATATGGATCAAAAGAAAGAAAGAAAGAAAGAAAGTGATATAACGCTGTTTAAGGTTACTCCACAAATCAAGGTTCAAATCCTTCTTGTAAGAGCGCACACAGACACAGGGATGGGATAAATAACTATTTGTATATTATGTTTACGATAAAGCAGAATAAATATCCGGATCATCCAATTCATATATATAATATAGTTTCCTTACTCAATCATTAATATACAAAAATTAGTTTCCTAACTTATTACTTAAAAGAAAAGTATAAATTATCAAATCTCAACCCATATAACAAATCTCAATAAAATATACATATATATTTTTGTAAATACTTAATAAACTTATGGATACATTAAAGATGAATGGTTGTGTAAATATATATGGGACACGGGTAGAGATTATATATTAATTACTTGCCAATGGCCGTGCTACCATTGAAAACTGTTATAAGTAACCTCGTGATCTTATAAAGGTTAATTTTAAGTTTTCAACTTGGGTTTAAGGCTTTTGCTTGAGTTTCGGGAGGTTTCTTTGCATAGCGTATGGGACTAATCTTAATTTAACATATTATTACATGGACTTTCCTTCCATATAACATGGACTCGTTAATTATTAGTCAAATTTGCTTATCACTTCAATAATTCTGATGGCTGTTTCAAAACCGTCTTTATTAATAACTGTGCCCCCAAAGTCTTTACTCGTAATTTAAGCACCAATGTATCATTTTTTAGAAGTCATTTTCAAGATTATCGTAAGACCTAATGAGCTATAATATTTATACAACTTTTTCACAACTTATTTTCTCTATTATATTATATTCATTGTACTTCGTATTTTTTCCTCATTTTATCTTTCTTCGGGAAAATAATATATATATATATATATATTACTTAAACTTACTTTATTTAATAACTCATGTTCTACATTAAATTTTAATGATTCAATTGTTGAATTTAAAATGTATAAATCAATAATGTAAATTTTTAAAAAAATTAAAAATCATTTTATAGTTTGTTTCATTAATTCAAATCGATGTATAAATTGATTTTATGATTATCCATCAATTTGAATTAATAAATGAAATATCAAATAATTTTTAATTTTTTTTAAATTACATATTTGATCTATACATTAAAAACTTTAAATTTAACGGTTAGATCATTAAAATTTAATATAAAACATAAATTATTAAATAAAATAAGACTAAATAAATTTATTCTTAAAATAAACGGATCCATATATACTTTTTTAATAACTCATTCATGATCATCTGCTAGTTTAGATAGAGAAACGAGACTTTTAAGAATGAGCAACGAGGAATCCACCTTAAGAGGTGTGGGGGCAGCTGCCCCTACATGATTTTTAACTTTTTTTAATATGATATATAAGCATGGTTATAAATTGCAACCATAATTTTAAATGTAATTAAAAAGGATATTTATGATATGACTATTACCTCTACTAATTCATATATTATAATTATCTTCCCAACTTAAAATTTATAGACTAGTTATTGAGAATAAGGATCTATATTATTATGAGTTTAATAGTGATATATTTTGAGTATAAATTTTTTTATATAGTTAATTAATAAAAAATTATAATTTGTATGTGACTTTAAGATAATTATCATAAATATTTAATTAATTTTTTTATCAAATGAATAAATTTTGATTTTGGTCTCGATAAATTTTTTGTTTTACAATTATTAAAAAATTAAGATCGTTGCTTTTAATCAATATTGTATTTAATCGTTTTTAACTACTTATTTATTTATTAAAAATTTAAGTGATCAACTTATATGTTAATCATAAATGTTAGTTACACCATGTTAATGTGTGATACTCTAAAAAGTTTTGTAAGTTTTAAAAATAATATTATTTATCTCTTTTAATCATGGTCAACGATCAAAGATAATTATTTTAAATTTTAAAAGGATGGAAAATAAAGAAAAATATTTAACAATGAATAAAATTGAAATTTACTAATTTTACAAAAATAAAAAATATTTTATAAGGTCCAAAAATAATGTTTAAAAATTTTATAAGAATATAAAATATAAAAAAAATTATAAAAACTAAAATCAAAACTCTCTCATTTAACAAAGACTAAAAATATATTTAAACATATTATAAATATTAACAAATTTTTATATTCAATCATAAAAATTAATTATTATAAATAAAATAATTTTATACTATCATCTAATCATAAAAAATATTACATCAAGATTATATATTTTTATAAAAATTAATATAAAATATTTTTTTCATTAATTTTTAAAAAAAAATGATCAATATGCTTCATTACAAGTCATTTTTTTTTCAAGATTACAACTCTTTTTCTAAGTTCAAAAAATAATATATGGAAAGTAAATTACTTAATGTTTTATCCTATTTGTTTACATAGAATTTTGACTTAAATACATTGATGTCTTATTTTTTAAATATTTTATTGACTCTATTTTTTTTTTAATTTATCTCATCATTAATACATTTGTTACATGAATTTTTTATTGATAATTTATGACGTCAAAAGTCATTAATTTAAGTGATTTAGTACTTATATTTTTTTACTATTAAAGTTAAATTTTTATTTTAAATATCAAGTCATAATTGAAAATATTAATATATTATTTTATTTTTATAAGAGTTGATATGACGAAAAGGAATTATACTTCTTAAAAAAAAAAACTAAAATAAATCTATAACTTCTCAGCTTATATCACACTCAGGTTATAAATATTTAATGAAATATGAGTCTTAAAATCTTTAAAATTTATTTAATGTTTGTTTTTAAAATAATTTTAAATATTTATGAAATATTATTATTATTATTATTATTATTATTATATAAGAAGACCTTAAAAACATACAATAACATAATCACTCGATAAGTACATAATAGAACTTAAATTAAGATTTAAATTATCTTTGTCATTCGTAATATCTGGACAAATATATTGAAAAATGTGTTTAGATAAGAAATTTTAAATTCTTGATATTGGAATTACTTTTATTTTAATTTTTATCATTTTTAAAATATTTTGTTTAGATAAGTCAATTCAAAATTTTCAAATTTTAAATTGTTGAATTGGATATGATAATTTGATTCCCACCATGGTAAAATTGATTTTAAAAATATATTTATATGTTGAGATTTTTAAATTAAATTTTATAAAAATAAATATTAGCTAATTTTTAAATATTTAATAATTTTAAAAATTAATATTATATAATATTTAATAATTTTAAAAATATTTTTGAATATTCAATAATTAAAA